CCAATGAATTTTTGAGAAATTTTCACCAGAAGCAGACCACCCCTAAAATGCAGAAAATGTCCCTGTCCAGAAAAGTAGCAGTTTCGAAAAACTCTCCCTCGGCAAAATGGCTCAAATAGTGCCACTTTCAAACCCGATTGCATCCAAATTGCTCAGAATTGGAAGCCCTGAGTCCGGCCTAGAGGTCCAGTCTCATATTTCTTCAATTTCTCAGTTCCATGGATCTCAGAACCCTCTAATATAGAATATTTTGAGTGTATAACTTTTATTAATGAGCTCGGCGGACATATGTCTGGCCTAAATACGAGGGTGCACCCCTAAGCATTCTGGGAAAACGTTCGCCGCCATATTTAGTCAAAGCACAGTCTGTAGATGTCCGTGACGTCGATATACACTCAAGCAGCCACCAGAGAACTGCTCGCGAATTTGGCCAATGGTGGCTGACACCATAGGGCAGGCACGAAGATCACGTGACGGCTAAACGAACTCTGCCGTAAGATCGACTTATACGTGTAAGCTAAACGAACGTTATAATTTGATATGTGCCCAGTCACATCATACTGGCGTTAACTCCTTTAATCTATACACAGTGGTGTGTATTTGTTTGTTGTTACATGAATAGGAGGCTCGATACCTTGGCCAGACCATCAGCGGCTCTCAAACGCCTGATTCGGGTCGCACTATTGTCTCGTCCAGATGTTCGTGATTGCATTTCCTTGCCATCACCCTGTGTTTATCTCTGCCATATCCCGCCAGACAGAGACAAGCGACCCCCGCGCGGCTCTCCAAGGTTATATTAAACCCGGTCGCTAGGCAACGGAGGGAAAACATCCCCTAGGCGCACACTCCCAGCTGTTTTTGTCCATCGGGCTCTTGCGACGGGGAGCGGGCGAACATACATCAATTACTCGTCCACGCCTGGAATCACTCCTTGCCGTTTGAAATGGAGACCCCCCCACACAAATGAAAACAATGGCGTGTACCACGGGAATATGCATTAAGAGGCATCCTTGTTCTCCTTAGCAACGGTGACTGTGACAGCACCGCTGCTTGGAGACTTCACGTTCACGAGGGTCCTCGCGTGTCGTCTGATAAAATTTTTCTCGTGTATAGGCCATAATTTTTGTCGATATTCCCTGACATCGGTTGAGGCGTTGAGACGGTCATTTCGCCCTGTTTGAGTTTGCACTTGTCGAGGGCATTTGCCGCTATTGTGTACTTCTGTGTTTGCATTTTTCCCGGCATCGTTGCCAGCGAGCTGTCAACTTATCAACAGTCGCCATATTACTGTTTTCGTCTGCATCGATCGTGTACGCCTCATAGGTACGCTTGGCTTCATCTCAACCTTTTTTTTCCATTTTCTAATGCCGTGACTGGGCTCACGATCGTTGGTTTTGCGGGCTTTTTGATATTATAACGAAATTCATTTTTCTTAAAATTAGAAAAAGGACATGATTCTAAGGTCCTGTTTCATGGCTTCAGCTCTCGCTGAAATTTTCCTCATTACAAGGCTTCAAGTTATAGTATGTCATTGTGGTTTCAAGGGCAGAGAAGAATTCTGTCCTGTTGTGTGCCCCACGTTCACCTAGTTTTTTGAAGACATCATGTATAGTTTGTCCACAGCATCACCAAATGAGTCAACATTTTCCGATCCGAGAACCAGACTATTGTTACCCTCAAGTCATGGACAGTAGAGGGCGCGCTTCACACTGTGGGGGGTCAAATTTATTCCCAGGGTGTTCACTTAGTGATGCGCTTTCACAATTACATTTACCTGCTTTCTCATCGCAGTATTTGATCATTTGCATATCCAGATTTTGTATTACGCCTACGTATGCTGATGAGGAATGACCTTGCGTCCTGCATTGCTTTCAATCAGTGTTTTGTTTTTAATATGCAGTGACTGGTACTGTGAAAAAGGTCAATTCTTGGAGGCCTGAAGGAGCCGAAAGCACGATTCTCAAGTTCTTGGTTTTTCTTAGTCTTTTGAAAAAGACTTCAGTTTCTCAGATCCTTCTGCGAAGGTTCAGAAACTCTGGCTCCCGAACTAGATTGTCTACAACAGAAAACATCAAACTGGCTCAGACCCTCACGAGGGCAGAATTTGGAAACTTCTCGTTTGATCCCGAAAAAGATGACGCCAAAATCACACGTGTAAAACTGTCACTTTCATAACTTAATTAAAGATGCAGTGTTCTCTCTAGCTACAAATGACACAACATGAGGAAATTGTTTTCGTGTCATCCCATCCCCTAAGGGTCCAGACAAGTAAATAAGTTGCCATAGACAACAGTGATAAATATACCCACTTCAAAACGAAATCAGGAAAATACAAGTTTCACAGGTGTTTAGGACACATATCAAATTAAATCTCATTTCTTCATCTTTCATTTTCCTTTCCATTTTCAGTGGCTTCACCGATGACCTTTGAAGATATTTTTCTCCAGAGAAAATCACCCCTAAAAACAGTCAGGAGGCCCATCGCCATTTTGGAAAATGATGCCTACACTCCATGGCAAACTAGAGCAATTTGGAGGGCTCCGTTTGGTCCGATACTTTCAGAAATACAAACCGACAGTCCTGCGCCTGCATTTCATCCACCTTTTTTTAACAAACCACCCAGTCCACGTGCCACAACAGGCTCTAATAGAAGAGAATGTGACAGCCTGCAAATTGTGATAGGGCCCACGCAGGCAATTTTGGAGTAGTATTTACTGGCCTGCAACCCTAAGAGGCATCATTACAGCCCCCTCAAGAGGTTGGCATTTTGCCACCCCGTTCCCAGGGTGAACACACTTTCTCACATTCTGCATGCATTTTTGTCCGTACTGTCCTCTCACATCACACATCACCTCTGGTGGAAACTGTTATGCTGGACTGTCAACCACATACAGAACGGAGCGGTTTTCACTAGCCGACAAAAAAGCTGTTTGACCGCGCCATGTCCTGTATCCCACAATCCCAGCGACTTAGTGACAGAGCGTAAGGACTCCAATGATCTTTAGCAGTGGATTTACTAAATTATTCGCTTCTGTTGTTTGGATTTTTTTAACAGATGCGCATGATTCTTCTCAAGCCAGCGTGGTTCATCGGTAAGTGTTGCATGATTGTCATGATATTCTATTTGTGTAGTGATGTTTCCTGTAATTTGAGACCTCTGTATTCCCTTTAGCCGGTAAAGTCGAGGTGTTGATGACACCCATGCAGCGCATTGTGATTTTCCATTTGGAACGAAGAAAGCTTGGTTTGAATTTCCAACTTTCACGCTTTCTCAAAGTTCAAATCCCTTTTCCCCAGAAGACAGTTACAGCAAAGATGTAACAACAGCGTAGCATTATTTCTTTACTGTTACGGATAAATTCCCATAGATTTGATTTTGGTTGAGGATGTGGATTTGGCTAACAACTCGCCATGTGATCTCCGAACGTCTCCTGGTGTAAATCACAATCGATCCCTTATCGAATCTTTTCATTCAGCGTGAATCATAGTGGAGAAAATGTCCCTTATAATCTATACAAAATAATTTCATCGGATCCACGCGGGGAGGTTGGCAGGTACCCGGGGCAATTATGGTTGGGTTTATAATGTAAAGAGAAAGGGGTAATTTTTAGACTTCTTTTTATTCCTTCCTATCACCCTCACTGTGAGAAATTTCCATATTTGCCCCTCCCACCTCCCCCCCCCGATAAAAAATAAAATTGGTCCCTGATCTGCCCGTACATCAGTATAGCCCAATGTTGTTATTTTAATTCGCCCATACGAGGCCACGAATTTTAGCTCACGAATTGGTCTGAAAAGTAAAGGGGTCAAGGGGTGTAATAGTTCCATGGGATTTGATCAGTCGCGTTAATAACAGTGAATTTCATGGAGTTCCCACCCGATCCGACAACCCCCCGCTACTTATAAGTGAGGCCTGTGCAGCAAAATAGCCTGCAATAACTGCGATGCTAATATATTATCGCATGATGCAATTCAATGGCACACATATAAGTGAGGCTAGTCAGCGTCAAGAGCATTTGCAAGCAGAAGGCTCTAACAAGCCTGACTGAAAAGTTTGCCTACTGTATTGCATCATACGACTCTGGCGGAGGTGGAATAACAAGCCTTCTAGCAAAGCCATATCTGAACGCTCATTTGACGAGGGCGGCAAACAAAGTTGCCCAAATTATCCTCTGACTTCCCTCGTGGGTACTTTTGGCTTCCAATTTTGTCAAATACTACCCGACGAAGTATCCAACAATCGCGGCAGTACTATTTGAGCCCCCACCTACAGCCGCGTACCGGCTGAGGTAGAAGTTTCCCAGGGCAATCTCCACGGTTTCCTCTTAAAAGCAGCAGTGTGCCCCGAGACATGCGGTAGAAATTTACTCACACCAATGTTGCCATGTTTTCTTTCTCCTCTCTGACAGTTTTATTTCAAACCCTTCTGGAAGTGAATTGTGTAACGTGCCCCGTCGAGCTGCTTGAAGGCCTGACATGGCCTGAGTCTGACGCAGGCCGGAACATCTCCGTGCAGTGCGCCCCTGGTCAACCAGGTAAGAGAAGTCAGATTTATAGTTTCACAGATTCTTAAGGTACATCTTCCTTTCTGAGTGGTTTCCATGTGATTGAAGGTTCGCCGTTTATCGGCAACATTGGTATAAATGTCATAAAATGGGCCTTTCGTGTCAAGCAAATAAAAAACACAAAACAAAAACATACCCATAAATGAATTATTGAAAATTGCCCACAGCTGTATTTACAAGGATTGGGTTACCTCCCTGGTATGTAAAAAGCAATAAAAAAAGCACGTGCTTGTTTTTTGTTCTAGATTTTTTCCCCAAAGCACGTGATAAATTATACAATACTCGTAAAGACCCATGAGATGGCAATGCTTACGGGTCAGTAGGCATGCTGTAAACACCCTTCACCTTTCCTCGCTTAGGGAATTGATCACTTCAAATACATTCTTTTAAACAATGTACCATGCACGTCTAAAGTGAAAAAAGGTCATTACCTGGAGCTCTAGAGGTTGTTCATTTCTGTATGCAAATGCTGTAGTGGCAACTTGAAATGTCTCGAATATATCGAAAGCAAATGTTTCGGTTTGAATCTTACCCCCTGGTTCCAAAGCACGGGATGATACACACGACTAAATTCCATGAAGACTACGCAAGCTCATAAAAGGTTTAAATAAAAAATACAGCAATACCTAAAATAACACCCGTGTAACAAAAGCATACGTCTTAGATCTCACGGCAAGATTACCAACACTTCCAAGTTATGACGGAAGATACAGAACTCAGTACAGTTGAAATGGAAGTCACCATCAATCAGAGAGTTTACTGTTTTCGACCAAAATCCCTATCGGGAAACTTCTGACAGTCTGAGAAAAGGCAGTGTATATAAGGACACCGTGTGTCTTCTGCGATTCCTTGTTCAAACTTGGATTGACAAAATGTCTTAATCCAAATTAACTCACATTTAAAACTTGGCAAAAAATTACTTAAAAAGACTTTCAACAGAAAAAAATCCAATCTATTCAACGTGGTTAAAATAAAAATCTTTATACAGAAATTACTTCGCAAAATCTATGGCGTTATTATCCACACAAGATGAATGTGATTCTCACTGTGTTCACGTTCGTGCGAAAAACAGTCCGAAAGGCCAATGTGCCTACAAATGGTCTAACTTTTCCATCAGTTCTCTCTCCAGAATTACTGTGCCGCAAATTGAAAAGGACCGTTTAAGAATTACTCATGATAATATGGCGCACGAGGGTTGCCGAAGCGTCACATCGCGCTAGAGTGTGGAATTCCGACACTTTGCCGTTATGAGTTAATTAATGCAAACAGAACAATATTGATTTCGTGCAAAACAAAATACATCCATTCCTCATCTGTCTTGACCACGCTCTCTGTCCCTTCCACCACGTCTGTGGTGTACGTTATGTGACTCAGATCATAAACCCCGATGGAGGAATAAACACACAAACACTGCCCCAGTTAACCGTCCGCAATCTCCGATTTACAACGCCCATCGAGTCCCCGCTGACCAGTGCTAGGACCACTGACTTATGGACTGGTAATCGTAGCCTTGACGGTTTCATGAACATAACATAACTTGTCTCGTATGTTGAGACTTGTAATGGAACGTTTCCCCATGGGATCGGTAAAGCCTATGAAAGCCATGGAAAAGCATTACTTTATCTAATTTGATTTTTTGCTTTTAAAATGTGACGTGTAGTGAATAAAGTGAGATGGCCTCAGGCGATTTTTTGGTTCGGGTAGGGTTTTTGGATGACGTTTTTTGATAGAAACTATAACACCGTGCTCACAGGGCCTACAGGCTTGAATTTTCCACAGTCAGCACCGAGTCACCCCAGAACTATAAAGAAGTCAGCCTGAAATGCTCAAACATTTCTCCTTCTCGGCTTGATTTTAATTCCTGCGTCAAACTATTTATTTTGGCAGTTCTAAGAAGTCAGAACAAAGAAAGATAGGCCCATGTCATGGCCTCCATCCCCATGAGTAACTTAATGTACATTTAAAACTGTCTTGAAATTGTTTTCATCAGAAGAGTTACACTGGCAGGGTATATCCTTTTTGTGACTAGAAGAAATAAATGGACTTGAATTTGTGTAGAGGAAAACACGAAGATCATATTGAGAGCACTTCGTTAACAGGGTCCAGGGGTCTGCTACCGTAGGGCAGCTAGGCCTTGAAAAAATGTTTCAGTCACAGAAAGATTGGGCCTCGCTGAGGCATATTTTCCACGCTAGCGCACAAGTAGATGCTGAAATGCCTGTACTTTAAACCACGTGCAAAAAATTCTTCCTTTCAATTTTTGTTAAAATGATTTCCTTTATTTCCGACAGCAAATGCCGACATTGTGTCATTTGAATCTTCTACAGTACTAAATACCACAAGAATGGATTGAATCGAAAGGTGGTCTTTTAGTTCCAGTTAAAAGCTATACACGCTGTCACAATTCAAATCAGAACAATTATGCTATAAACGGTTGTTTCCCCGGACTGTATTGAAACGTAAACAAAAGTACAGAAGTGATGTAAGTGGTTGGATTTTATAATCTGGTCATATGGCTTGGACGAGAAATCCGGAAAAGGACGAGTACGAGCAGCAGAAGATACGTTGTCCTGCACCACTCCCCACAATGAGGCTAACCGTGTCCCCATTGACCAGTGTGGTGACAAGGGCATTGCTAGACTGATGGTAGTAGCCCGGATGGCTGTCACGAACTCGAGTGATGCCACTACCGTTCACTACAAGAATCGCATCTGGCCGTGGCCCATCGACAAGGCCCATGACGGTCACGCTGAAGAAATAAACACCTGCTACAGAGCAGGTAAATACTCCTGTCTCTGAATCATACGCGTCTCCGACGTTCGTTCGGATATTGTCAAAGATGACAGTATCGCCAGAATTACCTGTGAAATGACTGCTCAAATAAACGGTGAAAGCGACGGCAGAGGGCGGTGTTGGGGTGACGTAGGTCGATTCCCCGGGCTCACCCTTTCCACCCTTCTCCCCCTTCTCGCCGTTGGGACCTGTTGGTCCCAGCTTCCCTGGCTGGCCAATGAGTCCTTCAACCCCTGGCTCTCCCTGGTCCCCCTTCTGACCGCGATCGCCAGTGTCTCCCTTGGGTCCAGGGAGACCCAATCCAGGCTCACCTCTTGGGCCTATTGAGCCCGGCTGGCCATTTTGGCCTGGAACGCCAGGAATTCCCGGTTGGCCGGCAGGTCCTGCTGGACCCTGGAAGCAAGTGCTGCAGCATGACCCTTTAGATAATGGGGGTGATATCTGAGAATCACTAGCTTGTGCAGTGCAGGGATGGTAGACGGCCCGCAACAGAAGATGCATAGACATGAGTAGAGCAATAAACCTCACTCCCACCTGTGCAATTAAAAAATACTGCAATATTTACCACAGTATGGTTTAGCTTTAAGCAGCAAAGTAGGACCTGAGCTTAATTCTGTAAAGCATAGCAAACATTGCAGAAATGTGCAGATAAACAGATGAAAAATGAACATGTTATTTCATAGTTCCACCTTCAGGCTCAAAATTGATATCTGGACACACGAACCGATCCGATCTTTTGTACGACAAAACATAATGCCTCGAAAACATTACTGTTGGGGATATCAGTCAATCATGTAAACTAACCTGAAATCTTGCTGTGCTCCATGCTGCATAAAACAACGACTCAACAGTGGTCAATTCATGGAGGCATGGCCTTCTCTTTTTCAGACTTCGTTGGACCGAGCTGGATTTTGATTTCAACTAAATACCTACATGTATGTCTATATCAAAGCTTTTGCTTTTGTAAATTTCACAGTTTTATATTTTTGTTCTATTTTGCTTGCTTTTAAACTTACCTGGAATGCCATTTTGACGTCAGAAGTGCTCTTAAGTCACAATTTTCAGACCTAAAGTAGGAAGTGTAGTCCCAAAAGATGATTGTTCTGAATGCAGCAACGCAAAGAAAATGCATGAAACGATCAGATGTTGGATGAATGGCAACTGGTTTTAACGGATTAAAATGTATTCTCCGTCTGAATCCACGGGCTTATAACTACAAAAACCTGGTCACCGACAATGATGCCACAAGTTCAGCTGACCAATGAAAATGTGGAAAAATGGCATCATCCATGCAAAAAATTTAGGATATCAAAGCTATTGACCAATGAAATCTCAACAAAATGACATCACTTCCACGCGTTTATTTCATACTCATTCCTAATTCATTGACAGTGACAATTCCTTTTGTAATGCTGCTTACAAAGGGATACACCCTCCTCGTTTGTCTTAGCCAATGGCAAGCGTTAAACAAAAGTTGCTGGGTTGGTAATTGTTGTGCATTTTTCTTCGGACAATGCAAAAACTTGTGGCTGTTAAACCTTTGTTAAAAATAAAAAAGTTTGAGTGGATAGTTGAATACAGCTAAAAGGAAGCATTATAATTTGCAAGAGAGTAAGATAAAACATTGATTTAATTCGGTAATATTTTTACATAGAGCAAAAAGACTTGCAAGATAGACTGACGTCACAACTGTTTCATTTTATTGTTCGTTCATAATGTTCTCAGTTACAATTTATGTCTGTGCTCTTAGCATCAATCGGAATAATATTATGTTACCTTCTTTGGTTTAATTTAGGACATGAATATATTGTCATAAATCCCAAACGCTGTACACAAGGCCAACAAACTGAGAGACTGCCAAAATGATCAAGAAATCACTCCAGTAAGAATTCTTGCAAAAAAGGAGGAGCTTTAATTGACAAGGGAGATGCCATTGTCGGCTTGGTTCGAATTGCTACATCAAACTGTTTATTTTATGCAGTGCGAGGAAATCAGGTCAACATAATTACCGATACATAAAACAGCGACCACGTGAAGTCCCCGATCCACACAATTCACAAGCGACTTTAACATACACGAAGTACTTGTACAAAAAATATTTTCATCTGGAGATGCATAGACTGACAGGGTTATGACCTCTACGTGACTGGATGAAACAAATGCTGGCCTGCTTGAATTCGTGCGATTATTTGTAGGCACTTGGATACAGAATGTGAAGTTCAAGAGGTTTATCGTGTACAATCTGTCAGGTGCCGTCAAAATGGAATGCCGTGAGTAAGGCCGCGTCCGAATCACTTGGCTACTGCCGGTAATTACGACAAGTCTATGGCACTGGCCGCGGCCAGTTCCCATTAAGTAGTGTGTAAATTTCGACCGTAGCCAGGTGATTCGGACACGGCCTAAGTTAGACAAATCCAACTGAAACGTCTATACCACAAGTATTGCTTAGTGTCAAACACTTTTGACAGACCTTTGGAGTTTGCTGTCCAGAGATAAATCCAAACACCATCAGAACACTAAGACTCAACTTTCCAACACACTGTCCATCTTTTCTATAAATTTTAATCTTTTCGGGATTTTACAATTGAGTAGCATTATTCCATCGTGTGTTTTTTATGTTCGACTACAGAGTCTTTTTAAAAAAATAGTTCAAAGAAATGTGACTTCGACCTTCTCATCGCATTGGATACATTTTGAAGGTAACTTTGGGGCATTTTACACAAATCGTCAAAACTTCCATCAGACCAAAATTACAGTTGATGGCTTTTCCTTGTACATGTATAGGTTACGATGGTACAAAACTGTATGGAAGCAAACGCAAAATGGTTGGGCTGTGTAGCACGTGAATCCAAAACTGATATCCAACCTGTCACCGTCACACTTGAGTAACCTTTACAACTGCATTTATGACAAAGTGTCTGAAATTCGGTATTTGTAAACTACAAAAGTGTTTAAAGGAGTATGTAACTTTTACTTCCAATATTCATTCCCTTCCGCTGTGTCTACTGATGACGTGTACCTTGGTTCGCAATGGGTTCATTACATGGCTTGGATCAGAAATCCAGAAAAAGAAGAATACTGGCAGCAGTGTATACTTTGTCCACCATCACGCAGATTAACAAGGCGAACTGTGTCCCCGCTGGCTAGTACGAGGACCGCTGAATTACTGGACTGGTGATGGTAGCCGGAATGGCCGTCGTGAACCTTAAAAATGTCTGCACCGTTCTTTCTCAAGCTTGCATACACTGTCACTCTGGAGTTCAAGCTCAAAAGAGTCACGCTGAAAAAATAAACACCCGCCATGGAGCAGGTGAATGTTCCCGTTTCAGGATTGTAAGCGCCTCCACTGTTCGTTTGGACATTGTCGAAGATGACAACATCACCAGAAGTACCTGTGAAATGACCGCTCAAACGAGCACTGAAAGCGACGGCAGAGGGCGGTGTTGGGATGGCGTAGGTCGATTCTCCAGACTCACCCTTTCCACCCTTCACCCCCTTCTCGCCGTTGGAACCGGTAGGTCCCAGCTTTCCTGGCTGGCCAATGAGTCCTTCAACCCCCGGCTCTCCCTGGTCCCCCTTCTGACCGCGATCGCCAGTATCTCCCTTGGGTCCAGGGAGACCATAGCCGGGCTCACCTCTTTGACCTATTGAGCCGGGCTGGCCATTTTGGCCTGGAACGCCTGGAATTCCCGGCTGGCCGGCTGCTCCTGCTGGACCCTGGAAACAAGCGCCGCAGCATGATCCTTTGGACGATGTTTGTGACATGTCAGTATTGCTTGGTTGTGCAATACAGGGATGATGGTAGGCGTGCAACAGCAGATGCGCACACGCGAGTAGAACAATAAATCTCAATCTTACCTGTGAGTTACAAATGAATACTGCAATCATGTTTCAAGCAAGTAATAGAGGTTAAGGTTGAGTTTAATTCTTTTAATGGATACTGTGGGAAGTTTCAATTACTTGTGATACGAAGAATTTCTACAGTTGTACAAAATGTTACATCAAGACTCAGAATATACATTTTTCTTTAGTCGGGAATAATCTATAGCAGTCTGGCAAACGTACTCACTCAAAATATTTGCGCATCAAGCTCAACTTGAAAACATGCAGTACGCTATGGGGCCAGAAACAACGATGTGTTGGCACTTAACTCTCATGAGTAGGTGTCCTTGTTTTACCAGGAGTGAAGGTTTTGATTTTTAGACGAATATTATTATTTTTGTTTTGGGGGGCTTTTTTGTGCAAAACGAATATAATTATTTTTGTTTTGGGGTTTTTTTTGTGCAAAATACTAGTCTTTGTCAAAACTTACCTGGAATGTCATTTCGACGTCACATCTGCGCTTACAATTTTCAGACCCCTTGCAAAACGACGGATGTTTGACTGAAGGCGATCACGCAGAGCAAATGAATGAAGCAATCTGATCTTGGATAGAGAGCAACTGGTTTTCATGGAACCGACTGAATTGTACGCCTAAATCCCAGGACTTAACAACCTCAAAGACCCAGTCACCGAAAATGATGCCTCAAGTATAGGTGACCAATCACAGTGTTGAAATGGTACCAACGATGCAAATTTTGTTGAATGTCAGAATTGTCAACCAATGAATTCACAACTAAAGGACATCACTTATTACATTTGCTACAGGGATTCCCATTGCACCCAAACAGTTTGTTTTGTAATCACGTTTGTATCAAGGTACACCCTATTCGTTACTCTAAGCCAATCGGAAGGTTTGAACAAGAATCATGTGACTTGTCATTTCTGGTAATTCTGTAGAGGCAATGAAAGAAAACTGAGCTTTAGAAAGTGTTTGGCAAAACCACCTGATCCGGCTACCCACCGCTACTTATAAGTGAGGCCTGTGCAGTAAAACAGCCATGCAATATTACTGTGACGCTAATATATTAACGTATGATGCAACACAGCAGGCAAACGTTTAAGTTTTCCTAATGTGCTGCATCATACGATAATTTAAGCATCACAGTTCTTGCAGGCTATTTCACTGCACAGGCGTCACTTATAAGTAGCTGTGGGTAGTCGGATCGGGTGGCAAAACAATGAAGTATGGTTCACAAGTTTAGACCTGTAGTCGAACACAATTAAGTGGGAATATCTTTTAAACAGGAGCAAAGTACAGAGTGAATTCAAACCAGTAACATACTTTGGTTTACGTGAAACGACCAGAAATGCCCTTGGCAGATGGTTATCATATTTTTCTCCCAATATGGTTCAGTGCACAATTTTTTGTTAATGCTCTTATCGGCATGCCTAAATAAAATCGGGTGGTGGCTTTAGTTGTATGTAGTAAACGTATAACATGAAGAGTCCTCTGAATAATCGCTTGTTGGTGTTGTTTGGAAATTAAATGCAAACCCCAAAACACTTGTATATGGAGTAAACAAAACAATAATTAGCCATTTTAATCACCGAGTCACTTCAAGAATATTCCATGTAGGAAGTCAGTTTAAATGTCCAATGGAGTTGCCATTCACGATTTGGTTCGAGTTCTTACATCAAACTATGAAGTCAAGAGGGAGGTAAAACACAAGTTTTCTCCCCTTGGGGTGTTCCTTCTGGAGTTACATTAAACGACCAGAAAAACATTCGCAATAAATTTGCCAAATTACAGTGTGTTATACTAACATATAGCCTTGAACTGTGGCTGTGTGTTTTCAAGAATACCGATATGCTGATACCGCTTGAATTGTTATATCAAACGTCAGAACTTAAATAAGAACCAACAAGGATGCGTTTTTGTCCTTCTAGGTTGTACCTGTACAAAACAGCACGGAAGCGATGCCAAATGGTTGAACTGTAAATTATGCAAAACATATTGTGCGCCATAAGTATTCTACTGTCTTGTTAATGTAATTTAACGCTTTGATTACATACAGCAAACAGTCTGTTCCTGGAAGAGAGCAAACAGTGTTAACGGAGCCAACTGAACTGTACGACCAAACCCTCAGTTTTGAAAAGTCAAAAGCCGGTCACCGATGTCCCCAGGTATAGCTGACCAGTGACTGTAGTGTTTGGCAACAGAATCTGATTAGCAAATTGTTGAAATGTTGAATGTCGAAATCACATCTAAATGACACCCCTTTGTACACTTAACTTATCCTCATTTCACCCTACATTGACGGTTTGTTTTGATATTTTAGTTGCATCTACATCAAGAT